CATAAATTTATTAAAAACCAAACTTGAGAGTAATTTCTATCTAGCTGCTGAAAACAGTTGTGCTTCGTACTGGTCAGCGCATTCGAATTGGCACGCACACAACAGGGTAACAATAAAGAGAAGATACCTACAAGTAAAAATGCAATGTACCTAAAGCAAACTTTGTAAAAAAGAATTGCCTGTCCCCGGCCATGACATGTGATATTCGACAACATCGATAGGTTACCACCGTATTGCACCGTGCGGTGCGGTTCCGTTGCCTTCTTCGTGGGTCTTGAAAATAAACGAGATTCGGCTTCCATTAAACAAGGTGGGAGTTTCGAAGAACATTAGGAATTTTCGTGAGAACTAAGTGGAATGTTCGCGGAAAGAGTCGACCGAGACTTTAGGCCGATGACAGATATAATCTTGGTTACTGAACAATTCTATGGCTCAAGGTGTTTTACTCCAGAAAATTGTTATTCATAAACCGACGATTTTCAGTTACTTTTCGCTATGAACAGGGATGCGAGATATCGAGATAAGGGCATAGTCGACAGTTGATATAAGAGAGCTGATATATAAATGACTAGTGTGCAGGCAGGAAGACTCAACAGTGAGATAATTCTATAATTTTCAGTGATACAAATAACCGATAATATAATCAGATAAAGGATGGACGCTTCCATGAAATGAATATTTCTATTAATAAAGGATGCATTTGTGTTAAAAAAATAATTTTGCGAAAAATTTCATCGTTTCTGTTTTCAGATCATCAATATAAGGCCATTTATCTTGATAGGTATACGTGAGTGCCTACCACTAACTGTGACATATACACAGACAGACGCATGGGCGTATGATAAGGGTCTCTAGTTGGGTATGGAACCCCAGGAACAAAATAAAATCAAAAATGCGAAAAAACTGCAACGGGGAACACGTAGAAGCGAAAATTCTCTGGAGACTTCAATGCTCGATCACGAAGGAAACCCGGTGTCGCGTATAAACAAATAAGGATGAAAACTCCCTACATAACGCAACTTGCGGAGTATCGTTAGACAACTCTTCAAGAAGTATTAAACAACATTATTTACTACTACTATTATTTCATTTAAAAGTCCCGCTTCAGAAATACTAAACATCAAATAAATTGGGAATGACTACGGGAAATTCAATCGTGTTGTGTGTATCCGACAGACCCGTTCATTTACTTTGCTTTCCTACTGTGTGTGCATCAAGTGTGATTCGGATAGTTGCGTGTATTTAGCACAATATGCCTCCAACATTTATCAAGCTTTTTATGAGTACAGCTAAGTATTTATAGCTTTGCATGAAAGCGGCAGGATGCATTTGACTTTCAGTCCTCCTTTTGCCTTTTTGTCTTTAATTTGTTGTTAATAATTGATATTAACTTTCCAAAAAATCTAAGTTATAAGACAACAATGTTCAAAAATTGGATAGCCGTTTGAAAAAGAACCTTGCACGTACAGAATGTAAACGCAGAAGATTGGTATGCCGTGATTAGGTTTATGATCAAATGTCATTTTAGGACGAAACAACAAGCAACAAATTCCATCGGACATCATTCATAGATGTTCGTTTATATTTGAACATGATTAATATTTTAAACATTATATGGACCAGAGATTAAAACCGTGCTTATCACTTATACAACTTGTCATTGTTGAACTTGATACTGCTGCGACTCATGCTCGTGGCTGTTGTAAAATTCATACAACGACCGGTTAATTCTGTATTACGTCGCAGCTAATCAGTAAAATTAAAAATTGAAAAAATAAAACAAAAGTAAAAAGCAACTGGAAAGGTGACGTCGCTATGTTTGCGTTAGCATCTAAGGATAGCCGACATTTAATTGCATTGTGAAGGAGAATACATATGTATGTATATTGTATGGTGTAAACCCAATTTTAAATAAATTGTTTCAACTTTCATTAAAAATGGTATGGTGTGAATAGAGTTACCTAAGGGTAAGTATCATCCAATTGGGAACTAAAAATGTTAACATTATAACTAATTGTAAAATATTAATTTATTCCTAGAAATTATTAAAACACCCTTTAAATTATAATAACCTATACTCTTTGTAATGACGATGACTGCCGGAGCTGCTAACAAATCATAAACATGCACAAATACAAAATACTTAGGCATGAGAAGATATGTGAAGAGCTTTTCTAGAAAAATTCGAGAGATTTCTTCACGGTGTAGTAAAATAATTATTGTGGATAAATAATTATTATAATGAAAAGCTTTTGTGACAACAGAGTGTCATGTTTTTACATATATGCTATTAATAGTTACAAGTACTAAAACAGCTTCCACTATTACACAAGACTCTATGTTATTAGTTTTTAGATATATCACGAAATGGAAAAAAATTTCACATTTTTTAGATATATCACGAAATGGAAAAAAATTTCACATTTTATGAAACGACAGTTTGGTGTCATTATCGTCTCTACTGATTCCTCGGAGACAAGCAATTTGCTTTTTGTTTTAATATTTTAGTTTGCGGTTTTTAATGGGACGTCGCCTTTTACTAGCGATAGAAATAGTGTCAAGAAATTCAATCAATGATTCCACAAGTTGGTCATCCCCTGCTCATTAAAGAAAAATAACCCGTTAGATTTAATTCATTATTTTAAGAAATTTCAATCAAGTTTGCGTCATGTTTTTGTCACGAATAGACAGTTATCCCAATATCACCCTCGACTAAAGAAGAGATAAATTGTCTCTTGGATTTTCCAGAGTTGAACTAAACTTACACAGGTGTTTGTTCCGGTGAATAAATTGCTTTCATTATCTATGCCTTTGTATTTTATTTTTTCGACTGCCGTAACTAATTCACACCTTTTTGTTTTATTGCTGTAATAATAGTTTTTTCTAAATTTGAGAAATGATTAGGTATGCAGAAAAATCGAAAAGAATAACATGATACCGTTCTTTGTAACTACTGTAAGGAAACAGACAGTTACCTAAATATATGTATTAAACTGATCTTGTCTAAACATGCATTATGACCATTCGGACATTTTCTTGGCTCATATTCTCAAAACGCCAAAAATAATAATATAAAAAGAATGTCATTTTATATTTCTCAGAATTGCCTTTTACAGAAATATTTGGTATATTCAGAAAATTGTCAGTTTATAAAAATTTAGTTATACACATTAAACTAAATGTAATTATTCCAAAACGACATTATGAACTTTCAAGTCAAACTTTCCAAATTGTTGTACATAGCTACTTTCCTTCCTCGATTAATTCATTCAAAACTTTTAGATGTGCGAGTACTGGAAATTGAAAACATGAGTATATTACAAGTACGCGTTTGTAACCCCTATTCTAGGCCCATTGAACTAGATACTAGATAACAGGTACTTCAAGAACAACCGTGTGTATGTAATTTAATTTGTAAATAAATACTTCTTCTTGGTAACTGCGTATGATAGATGGTCGATTTCGAAATGTGGCGTGTATTCAGTATAACCGGAACCTGTAAGGTTGACGATTTGCACATATAAATAATATAACATTTGTTTGCAAAACAAAACTAATATTGAATTGCCTCACAATAAATCTACAATATCTATCTACTACTGTTATTAATATCGTAATTGATTTATTTTTTTCTCGCAACTGAAAACAAACATCATCATCGATGTGTAATAAAACATTAAACTGTAAAACAAAAAGAAAAACGAAGATATGCATAATGATTTCAAAACGTTCCCAATTCTCGGTTCAATTAATTTTCGTAAATTTTAGCTGAGGACAATCCTAGACATATTCGAAGTCGATTTAGCTAAGGAGTAAGGATGAGCGTAAAAACAACGAAAAACATTGTAGTGCATCTTCATTTATTATAAACAGGTGGTTGGTAGGCGGTGGTCGAATTCGCAGGCTCTAGACACATAAGGATAACGAGACTCCTATGACTTTGAAAGAATGCTATTTTGTTAAAACAGCCAAAAATAGTAAATAAACAAAATTTACTGTTATTTTTGTTTCTTTACAATCGAAATAAATGAATAAATAAATGTATTATAATTCGGAATAGTAATTCTTTTAGCTTTCTAAGGTTTCTGTTTCAATGGGTCTTATCTCTCCTTGAAAATAACGACTACTCCAGAACTGCGATAAATTATTTATTTATCCCCGAACTTTTAAAATCTGTAGACTTTGAAGTCGTTCAAGTGTAGATTAGCTTAGATATCAAGATGCACTTTAATAAGAGGCGGGCCTTAAAGCTTCAAATATTATCAACTAATTGTAGAGTGGTGATGTCCATTTAGAAGGCATTAATTAGAGCGTTATTGAATTACGGTGTTACGCCACTAATGTACTTGATATACAAATTGTGAGCTTTGGGGAATTAACGTCTTGATGTTGTTGAGTGTGGTCTCCATAAAACAACGAAAGTTTTGAAGATATTAATTAGTTGTTGAGCTATTTATCTTTCGGTGATATACCACTGAAGTAATTGAAATTGAAACTTGGGATTCTAGGTGTTATCAAAATATTTACCTTAAAAGAGTATCATTAATTGCCGAGTAGTTTTAACTTTTAGCAACAGTTTCATTAGGTGCTAGGTAGACATCGTGAACTTTCTCGTCATAGAGAATAAAGGAAATGACTTAAAATTTATTGTTGACAAGGAAGGAGTTGCCATCACTATAACTGGTTCCTTAACACGCACTTGACCAAACAAAGACAATATTTGTTTTAAATATTATTATTAAAAAGCAGAATGTGTTTTAGTAGACGCCTTCTCGTGGTTAAAAGCAACACTATACTAGGAATAAATGCAAAACGGGAGAGAGAAATAAAACACCCTTCCTTTTCGTATAAACAATAAATATGTAATTTAGTGCACTTTATCACAGAAATACAGTTTTTAACTAGGCAGGATATTCTTGTTCTGCGTGACAATACAGAACAGACGTCTTACTTTTGTATAAAACTATTTATAAATTAAAAAAAAAAAAAACGANTAATAATAATAATAATTAATAGGCTAGTGTTGGAGGTAAGCCACGGGCTTATTACTCCGAAAATACTGTTTAATTACTTACCAAGGAGACATTAAATAATTATGTACAAAATACGCTAATAAATAATGTATAAATAATTGATAAAAATACAAAGTATATATTACACGTTAAGTTAGTAAAATTGTTGTGGATTGAAGAGGAAAATAAGAAAAATGGTCTACACCTCGTTTAGGGCACCTACTATTCTATTAATAAAATATAATAATTAGTCTTCTTGGAACCGGCAAGCTTCGTGTAGGGCGACGTAGATACAATAACCAAAGGACCCCAATTAACATTTCACTACGCTTACTAAAACGTCATCATCATCCGCTAGGAAGGTACATCACTACTACACTTTGCTTTTTAAATGTGTAAAGGATTCGATGACGTATTCGAGAGCATTCATGTAATCCCTGTAAACTATTAGGGCCCTCAGATTTTTGGAAGTTTTGGTATTGTTTTCATTATTTCTTTCGTCTGGCGCCATTATATCTCTAGTTACGTCCGGTCGCATTTCCAACCCTCTTTCGTAGATCGCCGTTTGAATTTCGCAAAGCAACGCGCGCAAATTGTACTCGGCTTGCATGAATCGGTCCGCGAACGGCCCCTGTTCGTCTTCCTGGTCCCAGACCACCTGTTCCAGGCCCACCGCAATCCTTTGTAAGTTTTCGTATGCGTCTAACAGGATCTCGTCCAGCTGGAAGGTAAAAAAAAGACATAAGACAAAACATTAGAACGACGTCAATACAACAAAAACAATAGAAATTATCATCAGTAATCGAAACGTAATAACGCAGAAAAATGTTTAAACTTATTTTATAAAAAATTAATCATAAAATGCTTACTTCCACGGATTCTAAATACTGGTTTGAAAGCGGAACTCCCAAAGATTTCGGAATTTGTTCTTTGGTAGGAAGCCAATTGAAGTTGACATGTGTCCACGACTGATGCAGTTTTTCGAATGGTGTATTAAACATCGTTTGGGCCTGTAAAGAAGAAATTGTAAACATTACACCATTCAACGAAAGCATAACAGACCAATGATGGTTTTTATTGTATTGTAATTGGACGCATCCCATAGGTACCGTTGTAATGGAAAATTTACTACAGACACAAATTGGTTGGTTATTATACTTTTTACTCAATTAATCAACAGTAATGTATTGCCATCTATAAATTACGGATAGGTACTTGCCAAATCAAGAATAGTGAAACTGCGAGAAAATAAGAACCACAAGATTTATCTATTGTATATTTTACAATTAGTCAACAGTAAGTAGATACTTAATTAAAAAAGAAGGATAACTCTCAGGTGGTCATCGTCATCGTTTTTTGCACTTTTACAGTAAAAAGATCTTACTACTCGATAATTTTTTGTTTTATTATTAAATGAGACACTTGATCGCATATAGATGTGAGACAAATTAGACCGTATTAAATAAGTATATGAATAATACGATTTTGTGTCCATGAACAAGTTCTTCGAACTCGAACTCGAACTAGAGTACTCGCGCGCTAGGTCCCACGCGTTTTAGTAACAATTCTTCGAATTTGTGTGATACGTAAAATAATAATGGCACACACCGGTCGTATGCTTTTATTAATAAGCACTAATATGCCAGTTAGCACCATAATTGGATGCAAGTGTGCTGTAATAGGGTTTAACATCCTCGCGAAATTTTCCGAGCAGCAGAAAACTTGACTGTATTAGCATATACTTAGTTGAATCAGACAAACCTCTCTCTCTCTTTCTATAATAACTCTTCCCCTGGTATCACTTCACACTTCCACTTATTATGCATTAATTTCTTTTAAGACAACGAACTTTTAACAAAACTACGTGACATTTCGTATCATTGAGTAAAAGTATCGACTTACAAAAACTCTGTTGGAATGGTGATTTTAAAACGGAATTACATACAGCAACTTCGTTACTGTTTTAACATGAACGCTTATTGCATATTTAAGTACCTGTATAGGTACCTATGTGTAGATTATTGTTATTTTTGCTTCGAAAGCGCTAAAAGAACTATTTTAAATTAGTACGTTATAGTATGTTAACTATATACATTATCGTGTACCCATGTATTATTTCTATCCATTAACTAATACGGTTCATTCATGCTTGCTTATTATGACGCCCATGTAAATTTTCGGGTTCTGTCTGGTAGCAAACCCGATGCCACAGGTGTGGTAAATGTGCCCACACACGACACAATGTCCACATAGAAACTTCTATCAGTTTTTGTCATAGTTAATTTTTTATAATGCAACATGCTACACTTTCTATTGCCACCAGTGCGATACCATTTACAGTAGAATGTTATTCGGTTCTAGTTCATTAAGTGACATTTTAATAATAAACCTGTTCATGAGCCTGTATTATATCAACCACCCCTAACAAGGAACATTCAAATATTTATTCTCTCTGTCTTCTGCTACTTATCATTAATTACGTTAAGGAAATTCACCGCTAATTTCTAGTTAAACAAACCATAACAGTAGGTATACTCGTTCTCTCAAAGACATCTCCGAATTTGAAATTAAGAAAGTAATTTGTAAGATCCCATTATTGGGCAAATTAAGCCAAGCAAGTTTTTGTCTCTTTCACTACAAAATTGAATTATTTCCGTAATTCCTTGTGGATGTAAATAATTTTTACATAAGTAGGCATGCAATGTCCGACACGATCTTCCACTTTATTCTAATGAATGGACAGATTATAAAGACGTAAATATTTAACAGATGTTTAGAAAAACTCGAGATCGGCTATAATGCAACTGCGTCAGCGATATAAAAATGTAAACATTACGATCGACAGAGGTGACTGTGACTATTTTAGAGCAACATTAACTAACACACACCTGATGCAAATCTCATGCGGCTAAGATGTCAAAGAACGACAGGTATGCAATCGTGCGAGATATCAAACATGCGAAACATACACAATAACGTTCCCAAAACAATATCTTTTATTCATTTAATACCACCATTCTATTAGAATATACCTATGCATAACACTTGTGTGAAGATTTTACGTGGAAAATAGGTTGTTAATTAGAAACGCGATTAGGTGACAAATTGTGACGATTATCGGCAACTATTCTGAATGTCAAGCGTCAACATTCTGCAGAAGACACAACTCATCATACTTATTCATTCCTGCAGCATGTGTAGGTATACGTACATACAGTGAATATTATTGAGGGATTGCATCTGCATCATCTACGTTTTATGTTTCAACTAACTTTACATGCTGCATATCATACGTTCCATCTTATTTGTCCGTTTCAATATGTTATCACGTATAGTGATAGAAATGTAGACATGGGTGCTCTGATGCAATAAAACTGCCATCAAGTGGCCGCCCTTGACTACGCCTAGTTGAAATTGTCCATCCAAACGAAACAAGACGCACGGTATACCTATTCTATTAACTACTTGTACCTACCAAAGCTCACAATAATTCGAAAGCTTTTATTTCTTTAAGGTGCAAAGCTAGACACAATAATTAAGATTATTGTCCTAGATAATGTTCACACGCGTCCACATTCGTCCAAAGAAGCTAATAAATCTCTTGAAAATTTTGTTTTAAAAAATCCAAGTATAGTTACTACTATTTAAGGCTCACATTCTGTTGCAGATAAATTGTGTGTTCAAAATTCAATTTTTGGCATTGAATGTATAATAGTAATAAACATGTGCAATTCGACCGTGTCCTACATCGTGATCGTCGGATAGCGATGTAGACAGCCTGACGCCTAGCTTTAGCTCGATGCGATGGGTCGGCGTACGCGCTCTCCAACGAGAATACTGGGCAGCGCGATTGCCTCTTTCTTGCGGGTTATGAACAAGGCTCCATGTAGCAAACTTCGAGCGTCGGTCTATGCATAATATGTACTTGGCATACCGAGATCAAAAATCTAACATCCGGCGTCGTTTTTCTCAAGCTGCTTTAATGAATACCAATACAATAAATCAATTTGACGGAAACGCTTTAGGTTCCAATTTAAAGAACCAACAAACGGTAACGTTACAAAAAGACATAATTTTATTTTCAAATTGTTGGATGTTAACGTAAATTTAACCCATTTTACTTAATAGTACCTACACGATTCAAACGATTTAGTAGATATATGAAATATGTTATACGTGTTGTTAGTAGATATACCTACATACATACCATATATCTACTAAATGATGCAAGGTAATAGAAACTAAAAGGCCTAAAAACGGTTCTTAAACTATTGTTCGGATTTTACGTTAGGACGTAGGAGTAGATATTGGAGACACCTCGGCGTTAGTTTTGTGGTAACGACTGCTAACCTACACTCCTATAGGTGTCTTATATTAATAATTGTTGTATAAGTAGGCAAGTAGGAAGTGTCGGCAGAAAAAATTCTCATTGTTAACTGACACTAGAGACTGGTTTGGCTCGAGAATTTCAGAAAAATTTCCCAAGTCCTGGATTAATTGTAAAAACCAATACCAAAATATGTACTTTACGCATAGAGATAGCATTTGGCCTCTGATTAATTAAATAAGTTTGATATATTTCAATGCTTCTTCTTTTTGTATAAAAACAACGTCCAGACGCACCTATACGTACAATTGTAGGTACTATAGGCATTTTCAAATTAAGTTGTATCAAAGTGAGAAACCGAAAAGGTGAATAAGCAATTAGCACATTTGCAATTAACCGTAATTAACAACAGGTAAATAACGGAACAGTATCTACTATTGCCGTTAAAACGTCGATTATATGTAAGTGTGAATTGGTGATAACGCGTCTCCGTATCTGTGTAATAAGATAATCACCGCCAATAAGTTCGTCTGTTACTTTTATAACAGGGCAGCATTTGATTACTTACTACCTGTTCTAATTGAACTCGTATTTTTCATTTGGCCATTGACTCTACAAAAACCTCACGTTACCTCATACAAAGAAAAAATTGAAACGTACGCGATTAGTGACTTGCCTAAGATGCTTTTATGCATAGGTAAATGCAGTTTTACTTTCGATTAAATACGTCTACACGCGGCAATTAATCTTACTCCACAACCTAGACGCTATGTTTAGTAAGATGATGGCTAATCGTTTGAATAAATACTTTCACTTATGTATTAAGCAATATTTATACTTAAATATGGATATAATATATATGCACATACTGTCAGAGCTGGGCAGAGCTTTTGTACCAAACTTTGAGCTTGAAAATGCACTTCCAGCCCCAGGCTTAAACGCACTGTAATTCAAGCCCTTTAATGAACAAGTAGTTGGGAATTGTTAAGCGAATAATTTTATAAAAGTGCTTGTTATAATGATTTTTAATTCAAAAGGATTCAAGCTCCTTAAGTTTTGAAATGTAACTGGAACTGGGTTAAAGCACTTTATGTAAGGGATCTGGGCTTAGAAATCGCAGCACTTTTGAGGAGATCTTAGCTATTAGTGCTTGGATATGTTTCTTAACGTATTATTAGAGTCGACATCTCTCTTGGTAGAATCTTCTTCTATATAATTCAGATTGCTTTTCTAGTAGCAGTCCCAATCTAACTTACAGTAGCTTTGAGGTATTTGAGATCCCATCGCATGTCATCTCTTCCGAGTCAGACAGTTGATTAGAAGTAGCAAACAAAATTTCAAAACAGTATTTTACCAATTGCATCTAGGCAAGCATTCAAAAACAAATTCTTTGAAATGACTTTTTCTTTACTCTAATAAGTCGAACTTATTCCCACGTCTATCGGTGTTTTAAGAACCATAAAAAAGTTGTATAATTTTCAGATTATTTCAAATATTGAAGTGGTGTTCCTTTATAAACTAATTCCACCTAATCTGATCCAATTTCAACTTGATATCAAAAAAACTACGTGTTAACTGTAGGTACAATTTATTTTCAATTTTCAAACTAGGTTGTGACATCAAGATAAACTTGAGGAAATTATCCTCCAATTTCTGTTTGACTTACATTTACCTACATACGTACATCTAGATATTAATTTTTGCACATGCCAAAGAACCTTCCAGTAAAGTAAAGCAAAGTACCTGATATGCATTAATGTACCTACTCAATATAAGGCATTTGAATGAAAAACAAAACCCTTATTGATATTTTCTTAAGTTTCCATTGACGAGGAGGTATTAGCTTGTAATAATAGTGAGTAGATGGTTGTCTCTGTCTCTATACGAGCGTTTGCGTAAATTAATTATTGTTGTCGAAGAACGAACGGAGCTCAGGAAAACGATCGGCGGACATGTCGAACCGGATGTGATAAAGACGCAAGGTATTTATATCCGATGAAGAAGGATCCGTATAGTTGTATGAAAGAAGGCTGTGAGTGAGACAAAAAATATGATAGTGTGTAATCAGACATCAACGACGGACGGCATGGCTTGCTCGCTTCGCATACCGTTTATACTAATCCCGCATATTGATTATGCGTAGTAAAAGGTTAGCGGTTAATGAATGAATGAATGAAAATCAACGTAAGCTGCGAACCACATATGTTTTTATGTAACATATTCTTCACATAAAAAGTCACTTTATGACAATTTTCGATATCATATTGACTGGTCCCAGTTGCTAAACAAGCAAAGTTCTCAAAGTTTCCCAAGGAAGAAAATCAGATAAAGGGACCTCACTTACAACAGAGCGCTATTGAATTCGTTTCTGACTTCAAAATTTATACAGATACGTATATGTATGTATATACAAAGAAATAAAATTAACGTTCATATAACGATACGGCTATTAAGCTGCTAGATACTTCATATTCAACGCTGATAAGATGGCTAAATTTACAATTTCAGACATATTTATATAACACAAATAAAAATAATGCCCCTAGTGCAACAATTTGTTTGAGACAGAAACATGTACCAATTACACTTTATCTAGCAGACGACACAACATGTCTATCAAAATTAGTATTGTAGGTAATTATTTTTTTGCGCTTACAACATCTACTATTGTAATTTTAAAGTAATTACTACAAGTGAGACGATATCTATCTATAAAAATGCCTCGAGTATGAGCCGGATATACCTACCTACGGTGATTGATGATGAATGAAGTATGTAGAATTACATACATTTTTCGGTCTTCTTTTTATAGATTTATTCCATACAATAAATAATCATCGCATTGCAAGTTCTACGTCTCTTTGGTTCTGTGTATTTTTTTGTCTGCTTTCAAGATTCCAATTTTTGAAATCAGCTAAATATTTAAACGTTAAATTAAAGAATGGAACTGTGCGGCTTAAATCTAATAATACCTTCGATATGTAGGATTTTGTAGTTTTATCAAATTTTTTAATTAAAAATGACCCATTTTTTTACGTGTTGGACGTGTTTAAATGTGAATATACGGTCGCACCTAGAGTCAAAAATTGGTTGTGGTAGTCGCTATGGCTTAACGCCCGACGGAACCATTAAGTTACGGTATGAAGAATATTACGGATAAAGTATGTGTAAATTTGGAAGGGTTATAGTAGCAATAGATACAGGTCTCTAAGGTTAAAGTAGGTACTTGAAATACTTTCGCCATATCTAATGATGAAAATTTACCCTAAACATAGCGTCCTTAAAGAGGTTTCTTTTGAATAAAAAGAAGACAGAGACTTACAAATTCTTCCTTGAACTGTTCGGCATAGTTGCTGGCAATTCTAGCTTGGTGAACGATTTGAGTGACCAAATCGACGTTCGGTACAGCTTCGCCGGCGAAAGTTGTCTCCTCATCATGTCGAATATTGCACGGGTTGACCCATTTGGGCGTCGAGTGCATTCTATCGTTGTCGACCATAACGTTATTATTACCCCTAACAGTCGGAGCCGTTAACGAACAAGGTACGCTCACGAAGCCAAGAAGGTAGACGCTCACAATGAGAGCTTGTTTTAATCCTGGAAAGTATAAAAATGACAAATAAGACGTGTAACAATATTTGTTGGAGACATTTAGGCCGAACGACACATGCTATATAAATATAAAACGTTTGTCGACAAACATGACAAAGGGCGCCAGGGCGTGAGAATCAGTCGTGGACATTAAACATAACATGTCAACTAGCCGACCATCAACGAAAAGAACGCACCTTAACTCTACACTATATACGCACGATGCGGAGATCAAAGAAACTATACTCAAATTCTCTCCCCGTTCAACAACCACAACAATCGCAACCAAAATTACTGTCCGAATTATTACGATTGACCGTCTCGAAAAAAGGACAAAACAATAAAAATAATAGCAGCTTAGACGTCTTTCTGTGTACTCTTTCTTTCCTAAGGTCCATCGTTGAGCTCGAAACAAACTATGTAGTTAGAGAAACATTATGAAACAAGCCCTCAAATAAGTCATATACTTTACTTCAACATCTTGAAGAATTTGTCATTTAACATTTGATGCGGCCGTCATATATGTATGTACAGAGATTGATTCTAAAATAGCAACACTGAACAATTTGGGAGCTCATTAACCTTTCCGACAATTAAGTAAAAATGAGTAAATCCAAACAATATAACGTTTTTATATCGTTACAACAAACAAGGCAGAGTATGAGAGTAAGCGTATGAGTCACCGTTATCAATGAAAAATGTTTATAAACTTGATTTACATAAAAATTATTGGACGCTTTTTATGAATGAACTTGATTTGAATTTTATTACTATTTATAATGTATGTACAATGTACAGTGCAGAGGATTATTCATAGTTTAATTAGGTACCATATTATATCATGAATAATACGAAAAATAAGTTGCACCATAAATCGAAATTGACATTTTTGTTAACTGCCTACTATTACTATCTAAGCAATGCACTCGGTTAAACGCTTCTTGCCAGCATAAGCAAGTTACAGCATTTTTGGAGTTTAAAGAGTTAATGGTAAGTAAGAGGAACCTAACTAAAGTGAAAGGAATTAGTGCTCACCGAGTTAGCGTTGGACATTAAATTCTGGCCAATTAAAAAAGGTACCACCTAACAGACGAAAATGTTACAGAAGCATTCACCTTCGGTTCCTTTTACATCATTATTGCTCATGTCCGTCTCTACATTAAAGAATTGCATGGTACTCTAAACGCAAACAGTAAGTTGTGCAATATTGCTTCTAAATTATATATTTAGAAAAAACATGACAATCAAGAAATAGGTACAGAGACTGTACTTCGAATTGGATCTTCGTTTGAAAGTTTTGAGGTTTTAATGGATGATTTCAATCTAGTTGGATAAAAACTTTTGTAAAGCCCAACATTATTACAATTTCACTAGTTGAGCTCGTATTTCCATTCCTTCCTATTCTGACAACGAACCAATGTTCGCATTCCCCCAAAAAGTTGATCATCCCATATCCCCCCTTTTAGATGTTTTGATACCATCAGCTACTATCCCTCGGACGTACACTCCAATGGAAAGTCGAAGGGTAGGACTGAAAACTCTTTTCAGTGGGAATGGGTGAATGGTCGTTGAAAAGAGACAAGTGAGGCGGATAAAATGAAGACAGAGGAAAACCGAAAGATAATCTGTGGAGTATAACTGTCCAAGTATATGCCTAAACGATGCAAGGAAACCACATAATAGCTTGAATCAGGACAGGCAAACATCGAGCCGGTATCTTAAACTAAACCATATCCCCAACTATTGGCGAGCACTAGTTTAATTTAGATCCACCCCCTTTGTACTCTTTATTTCTGTTTCTAATATGTCTCTCACTGAAACTCTTCGTATGCCAAAAGGTGTCCCGCCATCGTATATTCCCTTCCATAGCGCCCTTTGAACTCATACTCTTCGAAGGATTAATTTATTGCGAAGTTTCTTGAAGGCGCATGGCATTGTTATGACGGCAATAAATATTTCTTATTTTTGTTTTTAAACATGATATCACACATCTGAGCATTTGTAGTTTGGATAACAATTTAATTGTAGAAACGTTCAAATCAATCAACTAACATCTAAACGAAATGTATCTTCTGCAGCACAAATAAATTCAGAATTGCGATTTATTTTAGCAACCTCTAAATTATAACGAAAGTGTAACTAATGTTTAAATGCTTAAGCTATCAATACTACTCAAATGTATAAATTTTCTATTGATTATGCATATTATCCTCCGTTCGATAAAGGATTAGAATGCAAAAAATGATTCCATTTTTGTTTTTGTTATCTATATACATAATCGAAAAACACGCTTCGTTCATTGGCCCAGTTTTCGAAATTATAAAATCGTCAAACAGCTTTTGCCATTGAGCATATTCAGCATTTCAAAATTATTATTTAAGATGATCCTTACAAAGACATCCACATATTAAAGCAATCTAAAAAGTATGGTGTTTTGTAGTACCAACTGTTTAGAGAATCCATGAAAATCCATGATGACTTATTGACGAAGAAAAGCTAACAATTTTGATAAGCTGTGCAAACATTGTTATACAATTAAGTTGTGGTTGCATACAGATACACTTCATTACATAATTTTATTGCTCTCGCTACTATTTTTAGCACAGTCGAGTTTTGCGTAAAATAATCACGTGTTTTGTTACATCTGTTTCAAGAACACAACACCAATTAAAAATAATATAATTGTCTAGTAAAAACGTTCTTAATTTACAGGAACCGTTAAGTCCAAAAACCACACAGGTATAGGTATATAGGTATATATCTACCATACGTATAGAAAAGAAGTTTGGCTTATCAGTACGTCAGACTATTTTAACTAATTACGCCAAAGAAAATTGGGTATAAATATTAATCATGTAGTTTCGGTTGAATGATGAAGAAAATGATAACGTATTATTTAACGGTTTTAAAGGAAATTGATGACTGCATCCTAACTGTTGCCAAATTCGAACAAGCTATTTGGAAATTGTAACAGTTGTTGTTGAATATGTGATACATACTTTTGTTTTTAAGAAGAGCGTATAGTAAAAATTTAACTAACTAGATTAAAAATGGGAAAATCTTTCGACAAGTTATGTAATTTTGATGTTATAATACAGTTTTTAAACTAATTGTAAGTATCTAATAGTGACACTTACTTACCTACCTAATTTGTTAACAACAAATTAAGTACCTATAACACTTCCTAACGATAATATAGTAAACATTTACACTGTAATGTACAGGGCCAGTCGTAAACGGCATATCATGTTGACTTTTTTCGACGCCGGAAATTGGCGTTTGCATCATTTTTATACATACACCTAAACTGTAAATTTTGTAGGGACAGGTTAGGAGAGCAAATATGTAAAAGGGTATTTACATGTATTATACATGCGTAAAATGCTAAAAAATGATTTTTGGCAAAGTTTTGTCTTTCAGTAAAGTAGAACTTGCTAACGACTACCTAGCAGTGTCAAAATTTATAAAATTACCACTTAAAGTATTATTCATTAGAAATGAATTAGTTATCCTTCATATTTTGTGTTTCACTTGAACAGAGTAAGGGCCATAACATATAGCTACTTATTTTGATTTATATATACATCATGAGATATTTATGCAGCTACGTCTAGGTATATGCGTAATTTCAGAAGGTCCCTATCAGGGAAGTATACAGATAAACTTAAAAAATGCAGATAATAAAAATTAATGAAAAAAACGAAGATTATAAAAGCGGTGTCGAGATGTCGTCCTTTAGGAATAAATAACAATTCCACTTGTGTCATCGAGCAGGTGTACGACTTGATCTATTTACTGTTAAGTGCTTCAGCTGAGCTATGAGATTCGTTATTTGCAGTAATGGTCCTTAATTGCCATTTAGTCTCCGTAAATGTACAATTCCAATCTATTTACCGCATTTTTGTTAAACGCTAACTTTTAAAGAGGTAGCCGTACCTACATGTATATGCCTGCTATCCGCGATACAATTTATCTAATGCGAAATGGAACGGGCAGACTCAAATTATCCAGTAATTAAATTAAATTTACGGGCACCGTTAAAGAAGCCTTCGAAACGCAAAAAAACGATCACAATGCCGGGAAATTTATTAACAATGATAATAAAGAATAGAGTAAAAAACACTGAAAAGAGGGTAAAAGGAAGAAGGAATCGAACTATTGAAATGTTTGTTTTGCTTTCACGAGTCCCTTGCCGTTTCAGTTGGTCCACTCACGGCAGAGCTTTTAGAAATTGTTAGACATAGTTACTGTATATTCAGAGAAGAAAAATTCAAGTACGTAATGCTACACCAACTTGACAACGTAACTTTTAAACTGACAACTAAAATGGGACTTTTGCTTCGTCGGTTTATAGATTTTTCCAACGGGATCGTATTTTACCATGCACTTTAAAACCGACACAGTGCGAGTTGGTGGTACTTTACGTACTTTACTACTTTGCGTTGCAAATGTAGCATCTTTTCTCTCCTGAATTGGTATCGAAAAATTAAGATTTTATAAATTGACCGACTCAAATGGGAAAGGGCCCAAAGTATCCTGTTGGGGTGACGTAAAAATATATATATGGGTTCGTGATTCAATCGACCGGCGTATTACGAATTTAACTGCAGGCGTTTTTATAATTGCAATATTAAATAACAAATAACATGCATGGATGTAATTATAGTAACTACAGCGAGTGCTGTTTCGTACTCTTTGTGATTCGATTGGTTAGCTTGCTATTTTCGCCCCACCTATCGGCCAAAACCGTTGATATGCTCTTTTAGGTATGAAACTTACTTTGGAAGGCTCGCCGAAGGTACGCTTTCGTCCGAGTTATTCGTGACGTCCGTCTATTTTTACTGCAGAAGTAATACCACGAAGGACGAAACGTATCCGATAAGTGCTTCGTTGTATTCTTCCGGCAGCAGCTATACGGATACGTGCAATCGTTCATTATTGACCACTGGTACATTCTACTGTCGGCGGCGTCTTCTTCCCTTCGACACCTCAATTTTGCTGTTCTTTGATCCCGATCTAACATCCCCTGGATGTGGCCGTAACTCGTTAAAGAATCGTGTTCGCTCGCACCAAAAAAACCACCACGACAGTCACTGGACATGGCAAAACAAAAAAGACGACAAACACAAAATGAACGTTACAGCGTTTGGAACGACTTCTTTTATAACACAACTAACTCCTTGAATAGGATACGCGAAGGATATGTGTATGTGTCGACACCGGATGAGAGTGTACGTATGAGTACACGCGGCGTGATCGTCAGGTGTTATAACATGACACTAACGTCGAGCTTGTGGTCAAAACGTCAACTGACAATTATATATCTCGAACGGACAATATCCGCGTTTTACAAACCGCTAGGGTGGGTCCAACGGGCGACTCCTCCCTCCATTGATAAAAGTCCGTGTTGTGTGTGCCCCTACCACGATACAGGTGCAGACACAGCCAGCTTAAGTTAAGTCGTTGTTTGAGAGAAGCTGGCACAGCTCAAATCAAAAGCCATATCGCCTATTCTGCGCCTTGTACTACTAGACGTCGCTTCCGGGTATGTGCCGAGAAACTCCGGGTGTCGTCATAGCATCCTACTTCCTGGAAACGACCTCGACGCTGCTGCGCCCCATCCTTACGCGATCCTCTCTCTGACTCCGTTCGTGCGTCCGTTTAAGACGCTTCGGCGCAAAGCGCTGCCGCCGTCTCCTCTCCTAGCACACTCATCGTTTCGCACATGTCGTAATTAATTATTGTTCTGTACTGCTTGGCTTTAACACAGTATTAAACGGATGACGCAGACTATTAATGCGTTAGAACAACATTTTAATTTCATTTTTTCCACCGTCCATATCGCGTACATCTTATTTACAAGGAAAACAATTATGTTTTGTTACACATTTATAAGTACAACTTATTTTCGTCGAAAACGGTTGTTCACTTCTACAACCATAATAAAACCTGTCGCCACCGTGATCACTGACGATTGACGTCTTCATAGAAGAAACTTTCGTCCCATTACGTCTTCATTATAGATACGTCATTTTTTTTCTTATTTTCCCATGGCGAATGATAATAGTAATATATATCCTTCTAGCCTTTTTGTTCAATGACATGCAAGGACTCCGGTTATTTAAAAATTTATACACTTACGGAAAGGCGATTGACTTTCTATTATATTATGCGAGGCAATAAAATGGTAATTAAAACATGATAAGTACGAGTCTAATTAACCGGTTCCATTTCTTTAAAATTCAATTCCGAATTTTTTCTATTTCGCGACTCCTCCAATAAACATACATTACGTTCTTGGATGTACCTACGAAACCCATTAGACTAATCAACGTCTAATAATAATAATAATAATAATAATATGTAATAAAACAGCCTCTAATGTACTCACATACAAACGTAGATCTATGATTAATTATTATTATAGGCTCCGATTGGAACATACATTCTCAGAAAATGCTGGAATTCCCACTCACGTCATTGCTACGATTCTAGTGCATGAAATTTCACAGGTCATGAATTCATTGTCTATCTTCAATTTCTTTCTCAAAATTTAAGTCCGAGACATCTGGCGTATCGACTAAAATTTTTATTGCGCCAGTGATAGTGTAGGTAAATATCTAAGACGTGACTCAAACTTGACTGCTGCATTCCAGTGAAAATATCAACAAAATAGGCGAAACTACAACATAATACAAATGTGTAATCCGCCTGTGACTCACATATAATTGGGGTTTTCAATCAAGATCGCGATCAACTACATACAAATAATATGTACCTATACATACGTCGTACCTACAGCGTCAGTACCTACTACATGTTTCCATCGACGTCCGACATGAAACCAAATGCCTACTTAATTCATAATCAAAAACGTAGGCCGAATTTTAGAACATAGCTATTGCGGAATGTTGCAAAATGTTTTCCTACCAACAACACCTATTACGTATCTAGTACCTATAAGTGAATTTATTATTTGTATGTAAATGTAAATGTTATTCAGAAACAAGCAATCATTCTTAAGTGCCTTTTTGGGATAATTATCAAAAACGTCTTCAGGATATTTAATGGCGTTTTGATATCCAAAAACTACTAATTTTGGGAAATATATTGTAGTTGGACAAAAAGCAAAAAACGGCGCAATACATTGGGTCAATACAAAACAAGGAAACTTTGCTGCACACTGGTGTAACAGTTAGTTTGGATTTCCCCACTTTCGAAGGTTGCAGAATTATTGCACCTGTTTAGTATGATCGTCACAGGTTTATTTATTTAATTCTCTTATAATTTTGCTGAAACATCATATACGTGGATCTATATCTACAATTACACTATTGTAATCGCCACTAACCGAAAGGTAAGTGTAGGTGCTTATTTCTTTTGTTTATTCCTGTTTGACACGGAGGAAAAAGAAACATTTCAGCATCTGTTTTATATAGGTACTTGTATACTATTATGTATTTTCATGCGTCTATCTGCATGTTTTATAATGCAAACGTCAATTTCAAAATCCTGTACAGGTACAATAAGGCAGATACAACAAACAAACTTAGCTCTTCCGTCACGTTTCAACGATAAACAAAGTACATCATACATATGTATCATGTAATCAATATATTCTTCGCTCTATTTGAGCAATTATTTTACAACCTTCCTTCAGAAGTCGGTGTATCATGCTTAAATCCATTTTCAATGCTCGCACAATAAATAAAGTAAATCCAAATCCAGTATGCAAATAATTCAAGTGGATGAAAACGCGAGGAATTAGCAGGACATTCTACTTTAGAACTCTATTAACCGATTACATTATTGTCACGTTTATTGTGGTATTCTTATTGACATTAAGACATAATAGCGCAGGTTAGAGCCTGTCTTCTTTGTTTTGATACAGGTAGATCTGCTGTACGGTCGCTACCAAGCAGTTTTGTCGCACAGGTAGATAGATATCTTTTGGGAATTATACCATTCATCCACGGTTACCTACTCGGTGACCCACCTACTATATGTATATAACATGAAGACCCTCAAAATGTACCATTTTACTTACACTTGGATGCATAGGCAAATCCATAATTTGATTATTATCAATTGAATCGGTACCTGGTCAATATTTAAATAATAAATGGTAGGAAATACTTTTGATTTCATGACTAAAAGAATACACATTCCAACTGTTTTTAGTAATAGGTAAACCTAATTAATCTATTGTAATTGTTGAAAGTTCTGTCCATTTGTCATAGTCGAAATGACTTCATTCTACGCCTAATTGGAACGATAGTTTGAAACTTCAGGATTGAAATAAGGTTTTGAAACCAGAAGATGGAGTGTTTTTTATATTACATACCCATTTAGCTAGCAAGTTTAGTGTTCCTATTTATTAATTAGTAATAGTAAAACATATACAACATTAGGTTAAATTGTAGTTAGTTCACTTTACATTGTTTTTATTTACCTGCATAAGATGTGTGTTAGTCCTGCTTTGCAATTTTGTGAAAAGAAATAGCAGTAAGTAGGTACAGGTACCTCACGGATCAGGCTTCGTTTGACGGCGCGTTTGGTGACCGAACGCTCAAGGATCGTTATTATAACGACGAGCTGCAAACGGACTACAAACGAACAAGACAAGTTAATAAAATAATAAATAACTCAATACTGTGCTAAACTACCCATAATTTACGATGAATTTCGGTCTTAAGGTGCAGGATAGCCTTCTGACTTTTATTACGGTAAAGTCGAAGATGCAACAACAAATCAGCAGTTAACCGTAAAGACAAAATTTTTGTATGAATGAAGTTGAGAAAAAGTAACAGTAAAAGCGTTATAAAGTAATTTTGGTGTTAAGGGCGCCATTATTATCTCCTTTTATTACTTCTAAACGTTCCTGCGTTCAACAGGGATATTTTATGGTGCATTTGAATATTTACACAAAACTACGTAGGATTCAACAGCGCAATTTGTCATCTTGTTCGGTGAATTGTTATTTATAGATGTCATGCAGTTATTAAGGTACTTCCGTTTTTCTAACCGAACTTTTCGTAAACTAGAAATCCCAGCATCTTCCATGAACTTTATATAACCGATGTTGAGCACAGTACGGCATAGGTCGGTTTGGCTCGGAACTTTCTTGTATAATTTTGTACACCAACATTTTTTTATTGCTTAGAATCATAAGGTAACTAAAGGAGTATCTTGTCGTGGAATAAGTACATTTAACAATCAACAACAGTTTGTAAATGAATAAAAAACACTCCTGCACCATAGGAAGACAACACATAAATCAGTTGTAACTTTAGTAATATTTGCATTACTCGTTATTGTTTAATAAATTTTATATTCATACATTACTGTCAATCATCAAACCTGTCAGTTAGCTAATTACTAGATTTTCATTGCCAAATTTCCCTGGTACCGTTTTCTTTTATTATTATTTTTCTAAATTCACTCCTTACTCTTCTTATCTTTTAGGTACATTTTTTATCGTTATTGTTATTTTTAAAAATAAGCACAAGTACTGCAGATATATTGTCCAAACGCATCCTCTTGAAAAACTTTTTGAACCAATCAGTTGTGTTCTTACTTTGCTGTGTTTTCCAAATGGAATACTTGACTCTTTGTCTTAAATAGTCATTTCAAAGCATAAGATGCGTTTGGGCATTTATGGGTGGTTAATTCGGATAATAAATCAAGGGAAAACCTCTACTTAGGGTGGCTAATTACTTTATAGCACCCCCTGAGAGATAAGCTTACGGCCAGGAACCAAAATCATGGTATCCTTTGTGACTCTTGACTTCACTCATCATACTCAATCTTTCTAATGTGCTAACAATATTATCTCTATCATAAAAGGTAATTCCACAATAGAAAGGCATCTTCTGATTATGGCAGATTATCGAAAGTTAATATGTTTATGAAGCAATTAAGAAGAGGTAGAAATAACGACGCGGTTATTAGCAGTTGAAAAGATGACAGAATGGAATATGGTGCTTTTGAATTTTGAAGAACTAGCTATTGATGAAAAAATCGGCATTTTTGTAGAAGGAATAAACAAATATTAGTAGTAATATTTTCCCTTGCTTTATGGAAGAGGAAGACGAGCATAGGAAAATGTTTATTACTTACGGAAAATATAGTTTTCAAAAATTTCCTATTAGGGCTATCCTTTAATACACGGTTAAAACGTTGCAATATAACATGTATAAACGAATTATTCTTGATATATGTACATATGTATACCTAAAGCACATGCAGGCATGGAAAGGCCAGGCGTGACTTTTTCGCTCACGCAGTTCAAATTTCATAACAGTAGCCAAATTGACACATTAAAATTTGATTCGGCTACAGGCGATATCACTACAAACGGTTTACTAGATAACAACAAGATTTTTAACACCTACCTATTTACAGAAGAAAGCGCTTAATGTCTTTACGTTCTTGCATTGTATAACGCATTAACAGGGAAATTAACAATTCATTGTTTTATCGAATTATTATTTATTTCAGTTGCTACTCCTCTGGTGTGGTAGGTATATATAGTATTAGTTTATGTTGGTAATTAAAATTATAAACCATAAAAAAGCCATTGCTATTGGGATTTTCCAAATCAAGATTAAAATATCCATTTTTTAGGGATCCTCCTCTACTAACCTTTTTGTTATTCTAACAAGAAACTGGTTATTTTTTAAGCTAATGCAGCAGGTTGAAGTTAATGATCTGTTACGTAACCATACTTACTACTTTTATTGACTTGTTCAGAGCAAAGATAGAATATTGTCAAATAAACTTGACAGAACTACTTTACTGCAGAAATTTAGATTGATACAGGTAAACATGTAAATACAAACATGTAGCAATCTCTAAATAAATTAATACATATAATATATTGTGTGAATTGAAACAAAATTAATTGATAGACTAGTACTAGACCCTTATTTTGTAATAATGCTCATTATCTCGCGGTCTTGCAGCCTTACGCTGAAGATGCTGGTAATGTGCAATTGTTGTCGTTATTGGAGTAAGTCCTCTTGGTTATTTTACTGATATTCGTTATGTTAAGTTCGAACAGTGCTTATACATATGTATGTATGTATGTGTGCATATATCTATGTACTAAATGTACACTCACCCAAATAGAAGAGACCATAACTCATTAAATTTCATCTGGTAACAAAACATTAGTATAACTAAACGATAAAAAGTGAAACATTTTACAAATTTAAGACCGAATTTAAAAGTCAAAATGACAACTGAGAGTGGCAGAGGCAAAATGTTAATCAAAACGTTCCAACATTACTATTTGTTGTAAATCTCAAGCCCATTTTTAGAACATTACGTACTGCATACTTGCTTAATGCAATTTTAAGATGCGCGAATGTTGGGAACGGAACTAATAGTATAATCGTAAATGCTAACAATTTTTTTTGTATGTACCTACAGATATACGGTATGCCAAAGAAAGTAACCGACGATTATATTAGAAAAGATAAAAATAGCAGAACAAATAGCGTGAAGTCATTGACAAAATTTCTGTACAACAGTTTCCGGTTAGGTTCTCACTCAAATCCGGGTTATTAAAAGGTATTTAGACTACAAATTGCGTTATATAATTATGTAATTGGCTTAGCAATTCGGGACTTCGGGTTTTATGTTCAGCATTTACATACATACTTATATATATATATATATGTGAGCATTTAGCTATAATTTTGTCGATATATTACTCTGAAACAACCGTCAGTTTCATGATAGTTAAGATATAAGTATAATTAGTAGAAAATTGTATATCGATGAAATATTATTTAAATCTAATCGCCATTAGAACTTGGAATGTTTTCTTTTTTTTATTTCGTTTGCTCATCTAATTATTATGTCCTTTACATTTGAATAAAACCTGTCACATTTTTCCAGTTAATAACCAACTGTTTCCTTTCAAAAATATTATTAAATCGTGCTGTTGAGAAAAATAGGCGAAGATGAGTTGAACTAATTTTAGAAGTGCATTTTCAAACTCGTTACGGTGAACTACAGAAATCCAATACTTTGATATGTGCGTGGGCTGTATTACATTTACTAATTTAAGTCCTATCACGTGGCAAACACAATAAAAAGAATAAATAATTAAGTCAATAAGACATAAATGGGTCACTTGGGTAAGTACTTATCTCATAAGTGGATTCAATTCTGGAATGTTTGGAAACTTCTGCACCGCTTCGGAGACCTGCACCGATCTGGTCTCTAGACGGGTTGGTTTTATGCTTGATTGTTTATATTTAAAATTGATAGCTTCAACGAGAAGCATGTAGACAAGTTCGCTTCCGCGGAGGATCGTATAGGATTAATAAATCAGCTTTCAAAAAATAGCTGTGAAGGTACCTAAACGTTTGCAGAACATCCGCTTCTTTTCATGAGGAGTCGTCACTGATTGTGACTACCAGGATCTGTAATCCGCTACATGGAATTTGCTTTTTAACGATCGTTTTACAAAAAAATATAGGTACAAGAAAATATGCAATAAATAGAGAAATTTTCACTACTTAAAGAAAGATTTCTTTTTATGTCTGGAGATAGCACTCGTCGACGTTATAGTGCATCGGAAGAATGGGGGTAATTGTAAGGAACTGTTTATAAAAATTGATGATTTGACGAATCATTAGGTTTCTATTCGGATAGAAGTGATAGTAATATCAATATCACTACGGTAAAGTAAATTGATTAACATGATATGTTACACCTATTCCATTAACTGATGATTACATCAGCAATCTCTTCATGTTGAGGTAAAACTATCACGGGTTAGGACTGCAGTTGACTCATTCACCAATCAATGAAATTAAGTTTCAAGTTGTTGTTCACCCTCAAAACACATTTACTGTCGGTGTCAGTGTAAACTCAATCATTTTTGTCGTAGAATCGAAAGTACCTACGCAATTTGTAGAACTGCAATTTCCACAAAAAAATATTTCAATGACGCAAATAATGCAGTTAATTGAACGGAGG